CCTGTCTCCATCCACCTGTCTCCATCCACCTGTCTCCATCCCTGCCCTGCTGTGATGGACTGCAGCCTTCTGTGAGCAAAACAACCCTTCCTAAGCGGCTGTTATCAGGCATCTTGCCACACCCTTCATTAATGCAGATGTTGACCCCAGAAGCTACCACATCTTAATCCCAGTCCTCAGGAGGCAGAGGCAAGTGGATCTCTGTGAGTTCAAGGCCAGCCTGGTCTACAGAGTGAGATCCAGGACAGGCACCAAAACTACACAGAGAAACCCTGTCTCAAAAAACAAAAACAAAACCCAACCCTACAGTGACAAAGGAAGACCCTTCTGTGTAAATGTGGGTGCACACGGTGCTCTCTGGGGAGGGGGCTAGGCCACACAGGTAACTGAGCCCCCAAAGGCTCCCCACACCCGCAGGGGAGGGTCCCTGAGTCCTGGCTGGGGGTGGGATCCACACACTACCCGTCACACCTCACTAGCCCTGCTGACAGACAGATGGCCGGGGGAACCGGGGTCCTCAGGCTGGACCAGGACGCCTGGCGAAAGCTCAGACGGCCAGTGGAGGAGTGACCCGGACCCAGGCAAGCAGAGCTCTCCTGGGCAACCCTGTCCACATATCAGTCTGACAGGCCACACCAGAGGCAGCTGAGTCTCAACAGGGGCAGTATCTCACTGCGCCTCTCTTCTGCCAACGGGAAGCCAGTCCCTCGCCAGTACCGGAGGTCTCCATTCAAGGCCAAAGGACTGATAAAGGCCAAGAGACTGCTCAGGGTCCAGCCCAGCCTTGAGCTGATAAGAGCTCCCAGCCCTGGAGGCGGAGAAGGATGTTCCTCAAACACCACAGAGGAGGAGAGGCAGAGTGTGGGTAGTGCAGGGGTGTCGGTCCTAAGTTCTGGGAGCACCAGGCTGCTCTGGCTGTCTCGGATGGGTTCTGACTGCACAGTCCTGAATGCCAGCCCCAGAGAGATGGCCACACTGCCCAGGGCCCTCACAGGACTGTGACCCATCTTTCCCAGGCTGGCCCTTCCCACCCCACATTGGGATCCAGGCACCTACGGTTCCCCAAGCTCAACACTACTGGACAGATGAGGTCCCCCAAGCAGGATCAAGCTCCAGGGCTACCTTAGCTGACTCCTGCACAGAGACCACACACATTGGCAGCAGGTCACCAGAGAGAGCTATGGGAAGCCACACACAAGTACGAGGTCTGGCCAAAGAGGATGGCGCCAGGCCTAGGAGTGCCCCTCGGCCTCAGTACGGGTGCACGGGCCTTATCCTAGGAGGTCACCCTTAAGGAATGTGCCCAGGGTCCTTGTGCCCCCCGGTCATCCTCCAGAGCCTTCCCCGGACTCTACAAGGTCAGTCCTTTAGGGTGACAGGGCTTCCAAGCAGGTGTGGCCACTAAGTGGGATGCAAGGAGATAGGTGCCTTGTATACCTAGGGCTCTCTCTGAGGCAGGGACAGGCCTGAGCCCCCACGGGCCACACGTGAACACCACCCTGGACGGGGCTGGAGGCAGCCTCCCGTTTCCACGGTCCACACGCTGTAAGTCCTTTCCAGTCAATAAAGAAATCCTCAACTCGCAGTTATTCTCTCCCGGAACCGGACGAAGCCAGTGTGCTGGTCCACCTGTCCTCTTCCCAAAGTCCCAGAGGTGTATACCGAGTCCAGAACAGCCAGAAAGACCTTCAGAGAGCCTCGGGGCACATGTGCCTAGACCACTGCCACCCCAGTCTCTGTCAAAGTGAAGCAAGGCTGGGGAGCACCCCTAGGCTGCTGTAGGGCAAAAGTCCATTCTTAGGGGGCTGCTTCCAGAACACTGGCGCACTCCAGTACCCAGGAACAGTTCCCCTCAAGGGTGGAGCACCCCCTGCAGAGTCCATACCTCCAGGACTCGGACTGACTAGCTGCCCTCTTGCAGGCCTCTCTACCAGTCCAATGCCCCTGCCTCTGTGGGCGAGTGTCCTGAGGAGAAGTTGCTAGCTGCAAACCCCTGCACCAGCACCCACCTGGAATCCCAAGTCCCTTGTGTCAGCGGCACCGGGCAGACAGGCCACAGAACCAGGTCAAGAGGGCCCGGTGAGCGATGGCCTCACACAGCAGCAGTGCCCAGCTGAACCTGCAAGGGCCAGCGTGGCCATGACAACAATGGAGGGACCATGGCCAGAGGCAGATGAAGGACAGACGTAGGGTGGGTGACTTGGGGGCTCTTCTACACTCCAGGAGCCCACAAAAAGCACTCTAAAGACACAGCACATGTGCCAGGTGAGCGGCAGGAGAGAGCATCCTGCATCCTGTCCTGCTTAGACCAGGACCCCCACCTGACCTCTGAGCCGCCTCCTCCAGCAACCGTGGACTAGTGGAGCCAGCTGCCCATCGCCTGCAGCCCTGATGCTCCCTGGCTGGGCAGAGCTGGGCCTGGAAGAGGCCGACAAGGAGAAGAGAGACACCAGACCCCTGGCAGCACCAGTCTAAGCAGAGTAGGGTGGCGTGCTACTGTATTTCGGAGGAAGACCGGGGTGCTGTGCCTCGGCCTCCAGTGCATCGGTGTCTCCACACCCACGGTGCCGACTATCCCTGACTCTTTGGGAGGCAGCAGCTGACCAGATGCTGGGGCCTGGAGCACCCCCTGCTGGCGGGTCCTGGAGAAGTAGCTCTGTCCTCGGGAAGGAGCCCAGAGCAGCAGCATTGTGATGTGCCAGTGGCTGGCACAGGTCCCTCTATCCCCAGGTCACTCAGAGAAAGAAAGCCACCCCTGAAGCCTGTCTCCCCAGGCAGTGAGCCAAGGCTGGCCTGACAGGACAAGAGGAAGTCACAGGTCCCATGTGTGGGTGGAAGAGCTGGGTGGGAAGAGGCCTGCAGCGCCTGGCCCTCTGAGGCTCGCTGCTGCTCACGCATGCACTAGGTTGGGATCCGGAAGCCCACAGAGGCCCTCAAGGCTCAGGAGGAGCTTGGCCACAGCCTTGGCCACTTACTGTCCCCTCCCCGCAGGGACACCCTCCTCCTCCTGTGCTTGAGCAAACCCTACTCTTCTACAAAGCTCCAGGGCACCCCAACTGTCCCCAGGACAGTCTGGGCACAACTCCTGCCGGGTCTTCATCCCTGGCCACCCACACCACACTGCTAGGGAGTCTCAGAAGGAGGTTCCGGGGCCCTGAAGACGTGGCGGTTGGTAGCAGGAGTAGGGGTCACTCTCGAGCCCAGACCCCTGATTTCTCATTTCTGTTCCTCTCACCCTACCTCCCCTGGCACACAGTCGCTGTTCAAGAGTGGAGACAGCTGGGACCCTGGGGCTCTGTGAGGCCACTGTGCCAGCCCCTCCATGTACCCCCAGAGACAGTCACATACACACTATAAAAAGTCCAGGACAGCCAGGGACTGACCTCAGGAAACCAAGCAAAAAGATGCTGCGTGCCACCTAAGCTGGGCTGAGATGGGCAGAGCGGTGGCTCCCTCCTCCATGGCCGCTTCCCCAGTGCCTGGGAGGAGGGCCAGAGGAGGGCCCTGAGCACCGGGGTGAAGGC